ATGATAGCATTCATCAAATGGCATTTGCGATCAAACACCAAATTCTGAGTCAGCCTATTCACCTACTTCAGATACCTCAAACTGCGACACTGTCAGCCGTAAGCAATGTTCAAAAGATTCATTGTTATGAAACAGGGTATTACTGAGTCCAAATTCCGACTTCTAACGTAAGTAGTAATGAAAATATAATCGACCATAAAGTAATAGAGGTAGCGAAGGTTACCAAAAAGCTTCAAGGCTACAATTTGGAGCATTAATGCAAAGAGATATGATAACATGATGATCTCATAAATATGATAACAACACAAGTAATGAATACCATAAACAATTGCCATTGCTTTGTCGCTGGCACCACTTCTTTGAAAAGTTTCTCATAACTTGCTAGCTAAAAATGGATTCTACAAACTGAAAACTGGCGTTAAGTTGAGTTCCATTTTTGAAAACCTCTGAATATTGGCTTCAAGATGATATACACTTTTCTTACCAACTTTTTCACTGAGGACAGGAGAATTTCAATCACTCCAATTGCTACTATTGAACACCACCACTGATCATGCAAGTGGCATAACTCGCACAATTTAACATTTCTGGTCAAAATTCAACACATATTTTTAGGTTACTCAATCTTGGCTAAATGATGCTATATTTCTTGTTTATAAATTTTCTCTGCCGGGTGGGTAAAAGTTTCACCCATTTCTTGAACTTTTGTATTTCAACCCAAACACAAAATCTCGAGTAAACTTTTATTGCTGTCCACTCATGTTTATTCTCGTAAATCTGCGCTACACAGCGGTGTTTAAATTGTCCGGATTTATTCTCCTTCAACGGGCAAGTAATTCACATTCCTGAACATCTATCAAGTAAAATGTGAGTTCCACCTGTCATTTGCGGAAGGGTCACTCATTCATTATTAGCGATTTTTATCNGCTAAATTGATGTGTGCTAAATTATTTGGCAAAACGCGACAAATTTGATTTGTATATTTGAATTGTGATTATCCAATTTTTACGCAGATAATCCAGAAAAAAGAAATAATTCATCGAGAATTCTCTTGATTGCATGAGAATCTGCATCGTTCCGTAGTGATATTGGTTGATAAATGAAGTTCGTAGGGACTGTATCAGTCGAATATGAGTTTTTGTGAATTGTGCAATATTTCATTTGATAATCTCCGTATGTATTTGAGTATGTTTTCGGTAATCGTTTCAGATCGGTGCTTTCGAACAGAGTTTGCAAAGTTGACATCCGTTGCTTGATCGCCATCATCATCCGCTATGGTTGAGCACAGCAGTGAGGATCTCAGTGAAGAGGTATTTCTCATTTTTTTCATTTCTCTATACTTATTCCTTCTTACAATTAATAATTTTTGATTAAATTATGCAGATGCTTTAAAACTCGCTGGAGCTGAGGCTCGATGTTAGTCGAAAACTAGCAAAAGGCTGTGAAGTTTTACAGATTTCAGTTTTGGCCAAAATTTTGATTTTGGCCGAGTAGTTGATCGTTTTTTGAACAACAATATGTATTTGCTTATTGCATTACCATCTCAAAGTTCGATATATTATTTTTATACTCATCACTTCATAATAACTCGATGCTCTTATGAGAATCACTTTCAGATCGGTAATGAAATCCATGAAGCATTGCAAATGTCCGGGAAGACAGTCGATCAACGTATTACACACTTACAGAAGGTACATATTTGAACATCTGGAATTTTAAATTTTTATTGTTTATAGCATCTCAGCTTCATACATCAGAGAGCGTTTTCATCATTTGCCTCAAGGTTAAATTTGTATTGCATTAATGACAAATTTATGTCATAAAGGCATCTTACATCATGTCTTCTGAAGAAATTATCTAACTGAAAGGGATTCTTTCGTAGGCTCAAGAACTACTGTTGAATCACGATAGAAGTGGATCACTTCTCGACAATTTTTTGGATGAAATGCTGGAATTCGTTGTTGAGAATGACGCAAAAATGCGATGCTTCGTTGGTTCTTTCATCGAGAAAGCTTGGTATGAGCGTATTTATTGTGTTTTTTTTAAATATCTTCAGCCGTTATTGATATTTTCCTGTTCTTTTGATCGGCATATTAGTGAAATCTCATGAATATTAGATAAGCATTCGTGTCTTCTGAACAGATGCTAATGAACTTTATCTAGTTGTTCTCAGATAGATTTGTTATTTAACAAGTCCTTCAATTTGGTGAAATATTAAATTGTTAAGATTGAGTTTCATTCTAATTCCTTTCCTTGTCACAAGGATAGGATATCGCATTGGTCTCTAGAATTTGCTGTCCCTTTGCTAATTTTCAATTGTTTTAATTCTGACGTTAATTTTCCAATAGTTCTATCTCTTATTATGCACAAGGTGAAGATCATTTTTGATAATAACGAGTGATGAGGAAAAATCAACTTTGCGCAGTCAGAGGCATTTCCTTATTCCCTTATTCCTTCCTCGATGATGGCGTTAAAAGCCGAAACGTTGGAAGGGATCATGTGTTCCAGGCTGCGTAAGGGAGATTTCTCATTACAAGTCGTTCCTTATTAAGAATCTAACGTCAACTTGACTTCAATTTACCCGGATTCCAACTTTATTCGTCTTTAATTTACCTTAAACTTAAACTCAGTTTTTACTTTAAGAGGATCAAAGTTTTATTGAGTTGCATTCGGTGGGGAGTTTATTTGTGCTTATTTTTGCAGCAAGAAGGATGCTGAAGTGATGAAAAAGGCTGTCGTATCACTATCGTATATGATGGAACTTGGTGTGGCGGGATGTGTGAAAGTCACAAAAAAAGTTCATTCTTTCATTGAATTTGATGTTCATTCTGCCAGAATTTTCGTACGAATCAGTCGGTTGATGCATATGAAAACATTGAACAAAAAAATGTGCAGTTGTTTGTTAAAGGTGATAGCCGTTTGTACACAAGTGTATGCGTACGTACTGAAATGGGCTGCAGCATCGAGAAGCGTGGAAGTGGAACGGTGTTGGGAAGCGTTCTGTGTGCTGAAAGGTCGAATTATGCAGCAAATCGATTCTGACAATGAAGGGTGCATTCATTTTATCTCAATTTTTTGTGAGCTTTCGAAATCTGCTGTCATTCTTATCATTACCAGAAGCAATCAACACATTTTATTGAATGAATTTTACTTTTCAGAGTACGCACACAGACGCTAAAGTTTCTTGAAGCAGTTATATTAGCACAAACTTTACGAAACGAAGTGAGCGAAATTCTTTGCTTTTGTTGTTTGTATATCATATTTTTATGATATGCAACTATTATTGTTGTTACTTTACTTATCGTTACTGCGAATTATTATCATTATTGGTATTAGTCAGAAGCATAATCCAAATGCAGCCTGGCTTAGGCCCGATCATATCGACGGCATTGATACACGA